AGTTTTGGGCTCCACAATTCAAAAAGGATGTGGAGAAGCTTGAGAGAGTCCAGAGAAGAGCCACACGCATGATCAGAGGTCAGGAAAACAGACCTTATGATGACAGGCTGAGTGCTATGGGGCTCTTTAGCCTGGAAAAGCACAGGCTCAGGGGTGATCTAATGGCCACCTATAAGTTTATCAGGGGTGACCACCAGTATCTGGGGGAACATTTGTCCACCAGAGCGCCCCAAGTGATGACGACGTTGAATGGTTATAAACTCCTGCAACACCGTTTCAGGCTGGGCATAAGGAAGAATTTCCTTACTGTCTGAGCCCCCAAGGTCTGGAATAGCCTGCCATTGGAGGTGGTTCAAGCACCCACATTGAACACCTTCAAGAGTAAATTGGATGCTTATCTTGCTGGGATCCTATGACCCCAGGTGACTTCCTGCCCTTTGGGCAGGGGACTGGACTCAATGATCTTCAGAGGTCTCTTCCAGCCCTAATATCTATGAATCTATGAATAAGAGGTGCCCTGGTGAACAGAACATCTCTGGTTCCTTGCTGCTCCCCCTGATGAATTTGTAGGCGGCCACAAGATCACCTCTCAGCCTTCTCTTATGGAGGCTGAAGATGTCCAGGTCCTTTAGTCTCTTTTCAGAGGGCTTGGCCTGTAAATTCTTAACCATACGAGTGGCCCTCCTCTGGACCCTCTCGAGGTTATCCACATCCTTCTTAAAGTATGGTGCCCAGAACTGGATATAGTACTCCAACTGTGGTCTGACCAATGCCGTATAGAGGGGAAGTATCACCTCCTTGGTTCTATTTGTTATGCATCTCGAAGTCTTCAAAGATGTTTCAAAAAAGTGATTTTTGGCTCCGATGTGGATTTCAGATTAAAGTTTTGGAAAATGTGGCCAATGCTTAGGAGCACGTGTCAGAGATCTAGAGACCAGAGCTCATTTTCCATCCTGTAACAGACTGCCTGAATGCCCTTTGTCCTAAGGCCCCATCTGAAAAACTGGGTCACTGGTTCTGAAAGTAAATACACCAAAGGTTGTAATGTTCACTGTAAAGTACTGTAGCCCTTTTTAAAATGTTACCACATTGCTTTTTCCAATCTTTCAGCATTTCCTATGATTTTTATATACCCTGACAACTGTTTGGCATATTTACTAATACTTTTAACCTAGCTCATGATATACAACAACCAGAAGCATTGACTTATAAATATCCAAAGTGGCTTTATACCATAACTTCTTTACAAATATGATTTAAGGGATAAATCCTCCCCTTGTAGAGAATGCCTGAGGGGTCCAGAGGGAGGGTCTGAAAAGGAACAGTCCTGTGGCTGTTATCATAATGCTGAGGATACAAGCAGCTCTTAGTGCACAGCATTCCTTATAATATCTGCAATGACTGGTGATCCACAACATAGCAATGAAGAACAAAATGGCCAACCTCACTGGATAAGAATTCAAGGGAATGCAAAAAAAACCCAAAAAACCAGAGAAAAAGTTGTATGTAACAGCCCTTCAGGATTAGGAGAACAGGACTTTAAAAAATGTTCCTGGACTAGTTATTAAGGTATTTGGAACTCCAGGATACCATAACCCTGAGGGGACGTTGGTGCAGATGTCTTAGATAACTAATGTACCCAAGGGATGTGAAGCTTACAAACCCATGATGTGGAAGTGGGAGGTCTTCTGGTTAATGGGAAGAGGGAAAATAATGCCATGGGAGAAGAAAGAAAACCTGTGACAAGGCAGTGAGGCTTCTAAAATGTCTGGAAATACCAACCCTGTCCCCCCATTCCCCCGCCCCTCCAAATATATCTTTAATGAAGAAAGATGTTTGGACAATCAAGAAAAATATCTTTCCCCATCTGTCATGGCTGTGGAGGATCCTGTTTGCAGCAGATTTAAAGGGACATCTTTGAGTTGAGAAATTAGGGCAGAAATTAGGGCAGAAATTATGACATCCCTGTAAAGACCCTCAGCCACTCAATGTTTCTAATAGAATACCAAGAATTTATTTTAAATCACAGGGTCCAATCCAAACTAAGTTAGGAATGACTGAATACCAATGGTTGCTCTGTGCCCTACTGCAGAGAGTGGTAACATCCTGCTCACAATACTGGGCACCTGGCACCTTGCCACCACTCCTCCCTGCCACCCACCTGCACTACACAAGCAGTGGGTGAGGGGACAGCTTCACCCACAAAGGGGGGCAGGCAGCCAGGAGAAGCATCAACAGCGGTTGCAACAGGGTCAGAAGTATTAGTCCACTTCAGACCCAAGCCAGGTTGATCCAACCCAAACCTTACCAACCACTGCTTTACTGTGTACAATAGGCGATGTTTTTCTTATGCTTTACCTACAATGATGTCAAAGTGACTGCCTTGTAATGTAGGCATGTTTAAATCTCACTTTAAACAAGCTATCGTAGGTTTCCACAGTGATCTATGCATGATAGCAGCCTGAGAGGCAAAGCTAGCTTATGCTGAGCTCTGTAGCTAGATCCAAGCCAGCTACTTCAAAGCAAGCTCAGCTGTCTTTACCATGCACTGCAGTCACTAGTGACCACAATGCAAACCTGCCCTCAGACCATTTCCCAGCAAATAGGTGTATAGTGCGCTTTCAAAACAAACAAACAAACACCACCACCACACACCAAATAACACCTTTGCCAGCAGCAAAACTATACAGAACCCAGAAGTGAACAAAAAGGGAAGCTGAACTTCCCTTCCACCCCCTCCCCCCATTAAAATGATCTCTCCATGCAAGGAAAGAAAAGTTTGCTGTGCCAGTGTCCATGTTATGCACCCTCTGTGGTCAGCACTGAAGCTTTTAAATGCCCAAACCTCACATTAGAAAATTTTTCTTCAGCATTAACAAAACAGGCAGCCTCAGCTCTGTAGCCACCCATGGTCATGAAACTGCTTGTGGATCACAGGCACACTTTTCACACGCTGCATTTGGGGCAATTACATTCTGCCCACTTAACCTTCCTCCCACAGGCAGTTTCAAATGGATATGGTGTTCTTCACATTCAGAATGTAACTGCTGCAGACCATAAAAGCAATGGCTACATTCCACTGCACAAGCTGGAGCACTTCAGCAACCAGTGAAACAGTCTACAGACCTCTTGAGAATGGCATAAGGGTTTACTAGTTGATGCCTATAGTATGCTTTGAGGTCTTTAGATGGAAAAAATAATGGCTACATGCTCATAAATGTTTTTATTAATGATTATTATTATTATAGGGGCAAGAAGTTTTGCATTCTAATACAGTAGTCCGGTACATTCAGTCACCCATGGTTTTTTTTCTGGAAAATGAATCAACAGAATCAAACAAAGCAGATTAAGAGAGACTAATGGGGTTAGAAGGCTAAAAATTAACCTATTCTGACAGCTGTTTAACTTTCAGCTATGACATTCAGCGGTGCATTTTGGTGATTTTATTTAGTTTATAAGTATCACTGGGAAAACTTAACCTTGAAACCTTCACAAAACACCTATTTTCCCCCCTGAACTGCAAAACAAGCAAAGGGTCTGGCACATGCATTTTCTATCACTATCAGTTCACATGGGCCACTCTGTTTATTTTGCATTATGCTTCAGTAACAGCAGCTGTATGTGTTAGGAAGAGTCTATGACATTGGGAACAACTGGCTAAAGCACAGAGTTTCACAAATCCAGTTAAGCACATTTACTGAGGCAGGGGCTGTAGAAGTTCTGGTCTGGCCTAAAATTGTGTCAATGTCCTAAAGCAATGATTCCCAATCAGGATCCTGTAACACATTTTAAGGGGTACCTTGAGCCAAAGGAAGGGTGCCCTGAGCCTAAAAAGGTTGAGAACTATTTGTCCTAAGAGCTACACAAATAATGCAAGCCCTCCAAGAGGTAAGACAGGCTTTTGCTGGCAAAAACTCATTTTTTTCCCTGGGGAAGAGAGGTAATTTGCTCTCTGTTCCTTCATCTGCTGAAAGGGATCATTTACCATTGGACTATCAAAGTACACTTCAGTCAGGACCCAGGACCATTGTACCAGGCAAGTTTAGGACTTGATCTTTCACCCATTAGGAGAGGTCCCACTGACTTAAATGGTGCTGCGTCTGGTCCTTTGGCCCCAGTTATACAGATATTTATGCACACGCTTAACTGGTAGCAAGAGGAGTCCTGTTGAAGCCGATACTTAAAAGAAGAAACTTAAAACAGCCCAAAAAAGTGAGCTGAAGATCCTCTGAGGCCAATGATAAAGCCAGCTACGTATCAGGCCCCACAACTATTAGAGCTATTCTAATTAGCTGAGGGGATAAACCAGCCTCAAGACTGTGGGGGAACAGGAAGGTGAAAAGGTGGCATAGCTCTACCTCTGCCACTTGGCCCTAGGTGTGGAATGGGTTTAACCATATATATGCTGCATCTTCACCAAGAAGGAGGAATATTTTTTATGCTCCTTCAGGTCCCTCCTATACCTCGTCCCTGCTTCAGGGTCTTGTTTATTGCTGCACTGGCATTCTAGAGCAGAAATATTGCTCTTACACCCAACTTCAATTTTCTTTTTTAAAAGAAACTTTAAAATAAGTTATGAAATAAAAATCTGTCTGCTCAGCACCATGTCAGTGAGGTGCTGATAGCAGTAGAGGTCTGCAACAGCAAGGAAGCTGTGCACTCTGTCCTAGATCAGTAATTGCAGAGGGCAAGCAAAAGTTCTGTCCAAGTGCAAAAAAATTAGTCACCTGTAGAAGAAACAGCACACTTCCAGCTTTAAATAGAAAATGCAATGGCATGTTAAAAACTGAGGTGCTGTTAAAAACTGAGGTGCTGCCTACCCAATAATAAATACCTCCAGTTAGTATCCTGTCAACCATGCAAAGAAACCAAAAAGGCTGACTACATAATCCACAAAAAACAAACAATGTGAAAATGACATTTGTGAGAACAAGCAGCCTATACTCACCGTTTGCCACATGCCATGGTTGATAACTGGTCCACTACTGGTCACACGACCTATGCCATTGTACTTCAGCTGCAGTTCTAACCGCCCTTTGCGCACACCCAAGACTATCCATGTGCTGTCTTGATGGCCTCCAGCAAAGAAAAGGACACCTTCAGGATCAAAGGTTCTAAAGTCGAACTCAGCCACAAGTCTGACCACATGGGTGTCAAGAAACAAATTACAGTTATGCAGAGATCAAAAACCTGTGTGCCTTCCATAACGATAGCATCAATACAGACCACTGTTAAAAAGTAGCAGCTTTTAACTCAATTCTAAAAAGCTGAACTATGGAGGCTATAATAATATGGAGACAGGAATTAAAGACTGGCCATATTTGAGAGATTAACCTAAGATCTCTGGGGATAGGACTGCCTTCTTGGTTACTTGTTTGTATAGTGCCTAGCATAATAGGTCTCTGAACCTTAATTAAGATTCCTGATTATGATAAAAAATTCAGACAAACATTAACAATCTTAATCTTAAATGGCTGTTTAATTACATGCACACATGGAAGAGGGAAGAGTCTTCAGCTCTCTTAAGTGTATTCTCACCTTGCCGGTTGTTTCCTTTTAAAGCGCAATCTTATAACGGGGGTTCCACTGAACATTCTCCCCAGGTACAAAGACTTAACACTTTTTGCAACAGCAAAAGACACACAGGGTATGATATCCTATAATCAAAACATTGATAGTTTAATTATCTGTTCACACATGAAGGCAAGAAGAAAAGAGTAAGCAGTATTTGCTTTCTTCTGCTCTTCAGCACTGACGATGTGCATGCAGTTGGTGATCAGGGTACTTTAATTATTATACTCCAATAGTAGATATGCTCTCAGAATACACTAATCTTAGTCACAAGAATGCCCATACTTAATCCCTTCCACTAGCTTCCAGTGGAAGCATATTATTTCTACAACAAAATAAAATCAGTTGTATTTCAGGCAGGTGCAGCCTACAGCTAAACAGGACAGGTAATGCTCTTACCGCCATCCTCATCTGGAAAGGGGACAGCACACGAAGCACACTAACCATAAGAAAACCCCCATCCCAGAGAGGCACCCTGTCTGGGAAAGATACTGGCTTCTTACACTATCCCTTTGCCCAACTCAAGTGAGCTTAGCACTAGCACTGGATATTAGCTCAAATATTATCATTTCAAAACTCTTAATAGTTATTTAAAATATTCGCCTTTTTTCCCCCACTTACTAAAATGCAAGCTAATGTACCTCACAAGTGTTCATGTCCTGGGAAAGCTTAACTCCCCCTCTGCCATCACAGTGACAGGTGTAACTTCCTGGAAAATTGACACACGTCTGCTCACAGAATTTCAGTTCGCATTCATTTACATCTGTACATCACCAAGAAGGTGAGGAGGGAGAAGAGAAATACCGACAGTTGTTATTACTACTTTTTATAACAAAGAGCCCAGAAAGTACATACTACTTTTGTCCTTCTAAGGCACTATTCTCTCCTATTGAGTGAGGTTGTGAATTTCTATCCTCAGAAATTTTAGGTATTGGTTAGCAAGGGGTGGGCAACTATTTGGGTCTGAGGGCCACTGAGGGAGTTTGGTGAGCTGTCATGGGCCAGGTCAGCATCCTCTCTCCCCCACCCCACCACACTGCACTCTCCAGATCACTGAAACTCCCTAAGTGGCTCTGCTCCATGCTCAGCTGGGTGGCTAGGATGGTGCTATGGGCAGGTGGGGAGCAGCATCTGGGAGCAGGAGAGGTGGGTGAGCCAGGTGGATGGGATGAGGCTGTGGATCGGCAGGAGCAGCATGCAGAAGCAGGACGAGCAGGTGGGGCCAGGATCTTAGGGAAGTGACAGCATGGTGACACCCTGCCTATGAAACCAGCGCCTGATGCAGGGATGTGTGCAGGAGGTGGATTCCAGCTCTGCCCTGGGCCCCGGCCCTATACTGTCATTGCCCCATGATTCTGGTCCCACCCGCTCATCCCACTCTTGAACAACACTCCCCACCTGCCTGCAGCCCCATCCCATCAACCCAGCTGCACAGGTCCCACCCCCAGCTGTGTGTGCAGGGCAGATGAACTGGGGTGCCTAGGCAGCAGGGCCGGGTCTGATGGCAGTGGCACCTGGAAAAAGCTGGCGCTGCTAGCGCTGCTGGGAAGCAAGTCTGGCCACCACATTGCCTCAGCCCTGCTGTGCACCTAGGAGCAGCAGGACCAACTGCATACACCATGATCTGGGCTGCCCCCCGCACACCAGGACCAGGCAGGACTGAGGGACCCACTGCAAGCTGGACAAAATCCTTTTGTGGGACGGATCTGGCTCAAAGGCCATATTTTGCCCACCTCTGGGTTAGACAAACACTTGTGTGGGATGGTTTACCCAAGGATGATCCTGTTGCCTTGAGCAAGGGGCTGGATTACATCACCTCTTGAGATCTCTTCTAATCATATACAGGCAACCCCTACTTAGCACTCTTAACTGCTGCTCCTCCCTGCCCACCTGCCAACCACTCTAGCACTATGTGCCAGAGCAGACGCCACGCTCCTGCTGCCCTGCCGGCCCTGGCCCTGGGCACTGGCCTGGGCTCCATGCTCACACCCCTGCCCACCCTCCCACCTGCCCCTTCTCACCACCGCTGCTCCACCCTGTCCATCCACTGGCCAGCCACTCCAGCACCACGTGCTAGAGCAGAGCCTGCGCTCCTGCTACCTCGCCATTCACCATTTCACTCAAAGCCACCGCCGCCGCCACTCCTCCCCACCCATGCGCTCAGCATTATAACAAAAAGTGCTAAGTGGAATCAGGTATTTTAAATGAGCGCTATAGCAAAACCACGGTAAGCAGAACCATGTTAAGCAGGGGATGCCTGTAGTTCTATGACTACATGCTTAAGAATCAGTGACTACACCTCACCCCACCATGTACTACAGGGAAATATGACCACCACCACTACCACCACTATCGTTCCCATCTCACAGATAAGGAATTTGATGCACAGATAGGTTCTGCTGTCCAAGGTTACCCAGCGAATGGGATCACAGCTTTGACTCCTGATCTGGCCTAGAACTTTCATTCATAGCCTGCACTTAACCCACTGGGTCAGACATCTTTTCTTTGGGCCCATTCTGCTATTCTTGTGCTGACTAGCTCATATATGTCCAGCTTAGGTTAATATGACTCCTCTTACAATTGCTTATCAATGTAATAATTGCATAAATGGTTTCTTAACAAAAAACAACAAAACACACCCTAACAACAAATTGGTAGCACTTCCAGGATTTCTCATCACTATTTTCTTTCCTCCTTTTGCATTTTCTCATGCACTTCAAAAATAAGGTAGAAAATAAACGCCATTTTTATGGCCCACAGGTATGTAATTACAAACAAATACCCTGCACTCAGTAAAGCTTGTGTGATTCTTGTCATTAAGCTTCTCAGATGAATGGCTCAAGGCAACCGCAGTTCTGGAATGCTTACAACACCCTCTCAGCTGCAAAAGTTTGCAGCAGAAAGTCTAGTCAGCAGAGATGTACATGACCCAGCGTACACAGGTCTCCTAGTTCTTCTAGCTAAATACTATAAATGGAGGTTTTGAAAAGACAACAACTGCTGCTCTGTATTGTTCCAACACCACAGATGGAGACGGCAGTATGACCAGATTCTCTTGGATCCCAGCCAGATCTGTGCTTGTCATTAACACAAGAAATCTCAGTTACTTTGTTCTATTTAAGACATTAAAGAGGACTGAAAACCTGATAAGAGTTGCTCATAGACACTGAAAGCAAACAGATGTCTGGTGGTTAAATAAGGAACCAAATCCAAAATAAGACCGAATAAATACAAGTTAGAGTAGCATGCAATAGTGCTTTTTACAAAGCATTTCCATGACCATACCTTGACAAGACTTCCTTAATTCATCATATTTGTAGCCTGCATCACAGAGACATTCATACGAGCTTATTAAATTTTGACAGCGAGCTTCTCCACAGATGCCTGTTGACACTGTGCATTCATCTATGTCTGCAAAACAAGCAAGATTACTTCAGTTTAGCATCATTTCAATGTTTGCAAGTATTAAGCATGCCAATATTCAACTGTCACCTCAATTACTTAAGTAACTCAGAATATCCTTGAAAATCTGTCTACAGGGTTGGTTTAATAAACATTGAAACTGTTCAGTGCCAGGAAGGAAGTGACTTCAGGCTTCCAAAGAACAACTGCTGGTCTTCCTTCAAGCCATAGTCTACCTTGGAAAAAGAATGCAAAGTAACCCAAAGGGAAAACACTAAGAAAATACACCCAGTTCATGGAGCCACAAACTATGGAACAAAAAAGAGAGAGAACACAGACAGGAAGTTAAGGGCTGATTTCATTTTTGACCAAACAAGTATAATTTTACAACCTAAAATACAAAGAACATTATTTTAACAAATACAGGATTCTTCTCTCCCCTGGTCAGGCGAAGAGAATTCCACATCATATTTAGTGTTATTTATGTCTATGGTTTCTATGCGTATGTATATGTGCACACACCTACAAATTAATTTCATTTAGTTAAAACAATTCCCACATTTGTGTCAAATGGCAATCTGTCAAATGTTCATCATTTTAAAGCTGAGATACCTGTCGCTTATATATCCACATTTACACACTTACTTTTTATGGCAATATTTTTGTTCCCTTTTGTTCAATTTGGAACACGAAGCCCATATTTAATAAAATAGGACAACTCCAGAGTCAAAATGTCCATTGCAGGATTGCTATTCTGGCTAAAGGATTGAAAACCTAAGATTTAATCAATGGACCTACTGGTGTCAATGGAAGTTGAAGCTATTGAGCCTCCCAGGATAAGGTGTCTTGTGGGAGTGACACTAGGAGGCAGCACAAAGCTTTTTGGTTTTGTATTTACTAGGAAGATAATTTATTAGTTTAACCACATTTCAGCTAGCACATAGTAAAATCCAAGTGTGGACAAAAGAATAATGGTTTTAACATGTGTTAACAGAACTAGGCAAGCACTAGGAGAGTTCAGGGTTTACTTCAGCCTGCTTACGTATATTAAAGCCACAACTGCTTTGTCTACACTAGGATTTTAGTACGTGTTAATAAAAAAAAACACAACCCAAAAGCAAACAATCAAACCGTAAACCATTTTTTGCAGGACAGGTGTATTATTATAAGCACAAAAGGAAAGTGGCAAAAATAAGCAGAGATAAACATTCCAGTTACCATTGATGGTATCAGCTGTTCCAGGGACACATCTCCAAGCTACAAGCGCGGACATGTAGTTTTCAAATGGTGTTCTTCCCACTTCTAAATATACTTTTTTGGGCCAGATCCTCAGTCAGGGTAAATCAATATAAGTGCATGTCAGTGCACACCAGATTAAGATCTGACCTTGGGAAACCAAGACAATCTTTTTTGACCAGTTTTTCATCACCCTTTAATAAGAACAGAAGAATTGCCAAATACTGGGTCAGACCATAGGTCTATCTTCCCCAGAAACCTGTATCACACTGTGGCAGAAAGTGGATGTTGAAAGGGAGAGTGAACTGAGTATGGCCAAGGTATTTTTCCACTGTTCCTCTTTCACTCGCAGCTACAGCATTTAAAGCATAGGAAGTTCTAATTCAGAGGCTGTATCCCTAATTCCCATGCTCAGTAGCTACTGATGCCCCTGTCCTCCAAGAATTTACCCAATCCCTTTAGGAAATGACAATGGAATCACAACACTCACCACTTGATATACTGGAAATATAATTCTGGTATTTATTTTAGGCTGGGGAAATTCACATATTGGTGCTTTTGCATGAATCTGGACTACTTTTCTACACCTGCAGCAATCTAGTTTCTTCATACAGACTGAGCAAATAGCCACAAAGTTTGGGAAATAAACTCTTTGTCAGTACATTAATCTGGAAAGGCCCCTGCACATTTTTATCTGCCTGTTTATCTGAAAAATATAAATAGACTTCAGGATCTGGCCATTAATGACCACAAGGCAAATCATGCCAGAAAAAGGCTGTTGGAACCTATGTTATTTAAACTCTGCTGTCATAATTCACCCTACAGTTTCAAATGGATATTATGTTGTTCTTCACT